TGAAAGTCATGCTTCCTACCTGCTCAGATTATTCAGCAAAGCACATACAAATACTGAATTTACTATGGAACATGAAAATGATGGAAGAAGATGGCAGTCTCCAGAGTTTAATGTACCGAAAGCTGACATGGAATGGACAATATCTACATTTTAACAGTTTTTGTCCAAATAGCTAGTTTTAAACGAGCACTAGTCAAGATTCCGTACTATGGAACGAGGAGAATATGCTGTAAGCAGATATTAGAGGAAGAATTTCTGACTCTCGAAAAGATGCTGAAAAACAACGGTTATCCTCAGTGATTCATTAACAAGTGCGAAAGATCTGAAAGCTCAAATGTCAAATAAATCACAGTGGAAAAGAAGTCTGTCTTCATTAAAATCGATTTTAAAGGTGATAATATTGCAGGAATAATCAATACAAGATTGGATATGTCACTGGCCAGAGCCTATCCTTCAGCTAATTCCGTTCCTGTCTGTCTAAAAACATGCTCTTTGAGGCAATCTTTTCATGTTAACAACTCCAACTGTGTATACAAATTTACATGTATCTACGGGAGAAGTTACACTGGAAGAACAGAAAGAAGGATAGACCCCCAATTTTCTGAACATGTAGATAAAAGTCTACGCCTCAGGGAGGGAATAAGCACGTAAAATAGTGCCACGACCAGGCATCCCCTTGATACGAGTCATGGGGTGGACATTGTGAAGTCCTTTGAAATTATCAGTTGACAATAAATTTCGATTCTCCTCAAGTTTCCCGAAGCAATCTCTATCAGTCACCTGAAAACCGATTCATGTGTGTGTTCAGAAACAGGCAGTTAGCATCATGTTTTCCTCTTGTCCTGACTGGTAGTTGAATGTCTTTTAATTGCTTCTCTCTTTCATGTGATTGCATAATCTTTGGCCTTAACCTCATCTCCCGTCCACTTTGATAAAATGTAATTTTGCGTGTCACTTGTTTCGGTGATTTGAGATGAACTCAGTACATTGTTATCGAATTTATTAAGCCACTCATCATCTTATGCATTTCTCATTCTTTACCACTGTTTGCATGCACACATTTACTCGGCTAAACTTAAATTCGCCTGTGCAAAATCTATAAAAGTATAATTTTCTGAGCACTGTTCATTAAGTCCAGAACCTCTCATCAACTGACATCATGTAAAGTTTGCAAGTATGTTAGAATCGTTTCTGTACATAAACTTAATAATGAAGAGATGTGCTAAATAGTAGTTTAAGTATCTGTTCGAATGTATCGGCTTCCTGGAAACGTTTACTTTAAGTTTACCATCTAATTGTGTTTTTCCTAAACGGTCCAGGAACGCCAAATCATTCCCGTCGGATTCAACCTCTTTTGAAAACCTAATGATTTTTGACATATTGTTTATTAAGCGAAAAAGTTTACTCAACATACACTGTGTCATCCGGTTATCAACCAAGGGACGTGTGTACTGCTCATCAGTTCGCTCCGTCCTTCTCTATGGCTCTGAAACATGGCCAATACGCGTTGAAGACATGAAAAGGTTGACTGCTTTCGATCATAGATGTCTGCGATCTCTGTCTCACGTTAGGTGGTTTAATAAGGTAAGTAATGTTGACATTAGGCGTAGAGTGTTGGGCAAACAGGGAAAATCAATCGACGAGGCTATAAAGTTACATAGACTAAGACGGCTAGGTCACGTGCTGCGCATGCCTAACCACCGCCTCCCCCGACGGGCATTACTAGCTGATATAGGTTCAGGTTGGAAAAGAGCCAGTGGTGGCCAAACAAAAACATGGCATCAATCCATGAAATCCTTGACAGTTAAACTGAGTCAGGTAGGTAGGGAGATGCAGACTCCTGGGTTGGGGCCCTCGGGACTCTAGGAATCAATGGCTGGAGACAATAGGTGACATGGCTCAAAATCGTTGTCAATGGCGCAGATGTATTCAGTCTCTGTAATCTTTCATATTTCTTTCTACCATTAGCCATTCTGTTTCACTCTTATACTTGTCAAACTCTATTGATTCTCTTCACTCATCTTCTTGTCTACCTTTGTGTGCTATTTGGAACGTGGCAACTCGAACTGCTGAACTTCGGTGCCAAGTTATATGTTGAATCCAGACAGACAGTGTCTGATTATGACGAAGGTATTATCGACGTATTTTAATCACATTTTCGAAGGACTAGAGCATCTCATAATTGCATTTGTTTCTGAAGAGTGCATAAACAGATTGACGACTAGCGGAGATACTGGCGATCCTATAGCAATGTCTTCTGTTTGACGGTAAGAGCCCCTCTACATCTAAATAACGTGGAACGTAGACACAGTTCTAATACCTTCATATTTTCGTCTGGATTTAAACGATAAGAGTACTTAGTTCGTCGTCAGAAAGAAAGTATGTTATAAATAATACTTAAAGAATCATTAACGGGAACATTCGTGAATAATGAATAAACATCGAAATCTGCCATTACTTCATCTTCAATATGCATCAAGTTGTTTTTTCTCTTAAATTCATACGAATTCTTCACTTCATGTTCCAATTTAATTTCACATGGACTAAGTCTGCGATAAATGTAATTAGAGAATTTGTAGGTTGGTGAATTAATCATATCCACACCTGAACGTACTGCAAGGTCTGGTTTGTGCATTTTTGGTAATCTATAAAATCTATAGAGACTGTAACGTTTTAGAGCCAGAGTACACCAAATTGATACACCGTGCTTCGCTTTTATTGTCTGTAACATTTTGCTTGTGTCAGCCTTCAATTTTATCAATGCAGCCATTGACTTTGTCATGTTAAATTTTTCATAGGATCCGATATGAAGCTGATCGACAGCCTTCATTTCATAATCTGCAGGGTTCATATTCAGTTATCTACGACCATGAACAACTAGAAACTCACGGAATCCTTCGAAGTGAAGACGGGAGTAAGACAAGCTGACCGGTTGCCTACTATCTACAATGGTTAATTTCCTGATTGTGGGAGGTATACTGGATAGTGCAGCAGACAGAAGATCGGGTAACAAGGAGACAGGCATGAAATGAACTCACACAAAAACTCGTGGGATCTAAACTTTACCGATGACATACATACGTCTGATTTCCCACAAATCGGAAGATATGCAAATAAAAAAGCAACAAGTTGATGATAGAAGAAGCATCAAAGGTAGGAGGCCTTCAGGTGAACGCAGGGAAAACCAAGGTGATGAAGATTCCTGGCCAACGGTGTAAATCGGAGAAATCTGAGAGAAGCAACCTCCTTCATCTACTTACCTGGGAAGCATCGTCGTTTCAAATACAGGTGGACGGAATTGTTGAGGATATCAGAGCGAGAATCGAGAAAGCAAGGCAAGCTTTCGTTACTTTCAAGTCTGTTTGGAGGTCAACAGCACTACTCAGCATGATGTACAACATGATCTGCATTTTCAACTCTAATGTGAAGTCAGTGCTACTTTACGGATTCCAGATGACGCCGCATCACGAAGGACACTTCGAACAAACTAGGAACCTTCATCAACATCTTTCTTCGCTCAATACCATTCGAGATCAGATGGTTGGCCAACACAGATCAGCAAAAGGGATCTCTGGCAGTGAACGAACCAACACAGCAGGGAACAATTTCGCAAGAAACATTCAGCAATAAATGAGGGTGGATTGGCCATACTCTGAGAAAACAAACTATCAAGATGCATCACACACTAGGCCACTGCTCGAGTGGAACCCGAATATGATACAACTAGTTGTTCGTCAGTGTGAGGGTAACACGGAGGAGGTCATGTGAAGAGGAGATAAAAGCATGTGGGTAGACGAGTAGGCAGGTGGTGGAAACGTTGGCGGAGAACCGAATGCAGTGGAGATGTGTGACTGAAACCTAATGTTCCCCTAGGAGCTGAAGGAAATAATAATAATGAACTTTAATTGAACTTGATCAATAGAAATCCAATACAAAAGTAGACATTGTTTACAGTATTTAACAAAAGTATACTAATATTCATTACCAGTTTGGCCCATTCAGACATGGGTGAGGACGGTTTCCCCCACTGATGACACTGGTCAGTGCCAGTCGCGGTAAATTACGAATTGGTAGGGTTCAGAATTCATGGGCTGGCCGTTAAGGAGTTGGATGGGTGAATGGTATACGAGCTCGACTTATCACCGGAAGGTCTTGGGTTCTAACCCTGTTGGGGGGTGCGTACTGCCAATGATTCTCCAACTAGGATGAAATAGCCGGCTGTTCAGTACTCCCATTTGGTTCTCAATGCTTCTCTAACTTATATCGGTCCATGATCAACTCGTCAAAAGTAAACTAATATTTGTAACTCTGAGGTCAAATTGTGATCACAGTTCATGCAATTTCGTTTATTGTATTTTGATGCCTGTTTCATGACTCATACAAAGGTTTTTAAAACAAGATATGTCCCTTGTTTTATGTATAAACCCCTTTTATATTAATTTCAATTAATTTCTCTGAAGAAGTTCGGAACAATTTACTGAACGTAGGAGAGAACGTGGTGAGAAGACATGACTACTAGAGTGCAACAGGTCGGGTGTGAGGGCAAATACTAGCCGAAGACATTGGCTAGGTGTCGCGCTATGTCGTGAATAGGCAGAAGTTAGAATTCATGGGCCATTGAATCGGATCCCACTGCCAGAATGGTATACGAGCTCACTAGCCTTGTAACCAGAAGGTCCTGAGTTCGAATCCCGTTGGGTGCGTACTGATGAGGAGTTCCAAACTAGGACGAAACAGCTTTCCAGTACTCCTGCAGGTTTTCCAATGGTTCTCCACCTAATATCAGCTGATGATGAAACCATATAACCAATCAAATCACTACAAACCAACACTTAAAGAAGGTAGGAATCTTTAGAATTACGCATTTCAATTTCTCTGAGATTTTACAAATGTCAACTTTTCACTCAGTGTCCAGTTATTTCGAAACTATTCAGTCGAATCTTGATCACAATTCATATTGAATTATGTTATCTCTTTTGTCTAAATTTTCTAAATTTTAGGTCATTTGTAAGCCAGTTCCCTTGGAGGCGAACCACCTCGCTGACAAAGAGCTTGTAGCCGGTCAAGATTTCCTGAGACTACATCCAGTCTCTGATACGGTGTTCTTTGTTTTCACTAAAGGTGTATTCGACTATGAGAGAACGCCTCGAGCAGCCTTACTGATTGAATGTTTAGATTCAGCTGATGATGTGGTGAAAGGCAGAAATGAACAACAACACCGTCAACTGAACATCATCCCCCACGAACAACGCCAACGCCAACAACAACAACAACATGAACAGCTGCCACCTAAATCCCATTTGATTCGTATCACTGTGGCAATATCTGATCAAAATGACAACATGCCAATATTTACACAAACAAAATATTATGTAAAGATACCGGAACACTTTCATGAGAACTCATTAGTCACAGAAGTGAAAGCTGATGATTTAGACAGTGGTGAATACGGTGAACTGATCTATCAACTCGGTGATGTGTCAACAAAGCCAAACAGTCTGAAAGATGCCTCGAATATTAAGAATATAATGAATACACTACATGATAAACAACCCTTTCAGATTGACCAGTCTACAGGAGTTATTAAAGTATTACACAACGATCTATTAGATCGTGAACAAACTGAATTTTTATACCTACCAATTATAGCCAAGGATAAGGGTGGTCTAACAGCAACTGCACAGTTAATTGTCGAGTTAATCGATATCAATGATAATCCGCCTAAACTGGTTAGTTCCACCGATATAAAAGTTGAAGAAAACCAAAAAATCAATACTATTATTGATTCGATCCATATAATTGATTTAGATAAGGGCAAACATTCACGTATCCATTTAATGCTAACACATGATGGAGATGATGATAATGGGGACGATGTTGATGGGAATAAGCTGATCAATAAAGAAATAACAAAATATGTTAAAATGATACCAGATTCACGGTTCAATTATTCTATGTCAACATTGAATGAATTAATCAGTGATGGTGATATCAAAGCTCTGTTGATTAGTCGAATGCCTTTCGATCGAGAGACAACAGCCAGTGTCTTTTATGAAATTGTCTGTTATGATGAAGGTCAACCAATAAGGTATAGTGTAACGCATACAATCACTATACACGTGACGGATCAAAACGACAATACACCGGTGTGTACATATCCTATTTATAATAGTCTGCTTGGATACCATCATCAGCCCAATCAGCCTCATCCTAATCAACAGCCAGTGATCCATATCAACACACCTTTGCATACTTTAGTCACACAGATTCGAGGCTATGATCCTGATCAAGGCTTGAATGGGACTATCACTTATCATCTGGATAAATCTACGAATGGTAGTCAATATTTCTATGTGAATCAGACAACAGGTGAACTGTTCACCAATTGGTCACCAAATTTCAGTTTCCGCCAGACCAAGACTAAAACCAGCCCTAAGCGTATTGATGAACCTGTTGTAGGTGTTTATCAAATCCGTGTATTACTTCGAGATATGGGCACACCGAGTTTATCGAAAGAGACACAATTCTATGTGAAAATCAATCCATTCAATCCTAGTTTGAGTAAATGGAGTACAGTTGAGGCACTGGACGCCGCTCATCAAACAATCGGATCAGTGCCTATGAATTCAAAACTGCAAAAAATATGGTTCAATAATCGTTTCATATTGATTTTATTGATTATATTTATAATAATTCTTATGATTACAATCTTTGGTATAGTATTCTGGGCTAGATCACATCGTAAACAGAAATTGTGTCGATCAGTGAAAACAATCATATCAGATAGGAATGTGTGCAGTCCAGTGATCATGCCAACAGAGAGAGCACCAGCATCAGTAACACTTAGGAATGGAGCGCAGAGGCATAATGAGACGTTGCCTATTTTAACCTACGATGGAGTAGCGGATAAATCACCGATTATCAGCCATCAACCTTCACATTTACTCAGCGCATACACTGAAAGTGAACAAAAGTTTGATGGTAATGACAATAATAATATTAGTAGTAATAATATTACAAAAACTTTGGTGAATACATCCAACATTGAAACATTGAATCAGTTCAGTTCACTATGGCCGGATACAAGTAGTGTAAACCAGTATACAGAGAGAAATGTTGGACGCATCGACCGACACAGTACATACTCACATTTTTCGCTGAGTAGTGATCATAACAATAATAATAATAATAACAGCAGTAATGGTGGTAACAAGAATAACTACAACATACATCAACAGACGGGTACTTTGAATCACCTTCACACTAATCCAGTATTCTCATTCCCTCTAGCATATAACACCTATCATAGTAGTACTATGAATGATGGTGGTGGTCATCGACTGTCTGTAGGTCAAAAGTTCATCAATTCATCAACTTATTCATCAACAAATCCTTATTACTCAGCATCAAATAACACTGGACATAACACGCTGAATAGCATTGGATATAATAGTGATATTGTAGGGTATAATAATAATACTGGTAATACTATGAGAGAGAGAAATACTGTGGGTTATTTAAACTCTCCACAACAGAAGCAGCAGGTTCATCAGTCAGGGGCTAATTCTGAACACTATTATCCACACCTGCCAATAATACCTGACCGTGATTTTCATGATCAAAGTAAGTGGAAACTGAATTAATCTATTTATTGATTGATTTTGAAATAATGGAGAAGATTTGTAGCTCAGGCGGATGATGATATTGAATTAGTTGTGTTTTCTACGGAGATAGGCGTTTCAGTTGTGAAGCTCCCGTCTTCGCCCTTCTAGACAACAGGCTTCCTTCAGCTCAGGTTTTAGGAGAAAACCAACTTAGTCGACTTCTCCATGATTAATGATGTTACTGTATCATTCGACTGACAACCAGCGTCGTGTCTGGTTGTTGATTTACATATCGAAGAATTCGAACTTACTTTTCATGTGATTTACTTTTTATCAGTTGGTGGTAAATTTAGTCCACGCTTACCAGGCAGGTCAAGGAAAAACTAATGCTGACTGCTTCGTTCTGAACACATAAATCGAGTTTCGTAGAGATTCCCTTCGATAAGCTTGAAATTATCAAAAGACAAAAGAGCTCAATTCTCCTTGAGTTCACCGCAGTAATTTCTGTGAAATGCTTGAAACCCGATTGATGTGTTCAGAAAGAAGTAGTGATCAGTCTTCCCGGGCTCTGCTTGGTAACTGGGTGTCTTCACTCACTTTCTCTCTCTCTTTCGTTTGATAACGTAAATTTTGGTTCCAAGTTCATCTGCCCGCGCCCCACACACACACACTATGATATAGTGTAATTCTCATTGTCTCAGTACATTGTTACCCACTTTATTAATTTATGTTAAGAAACCTTGTTCACTGTAAATTACCTATTTAGCACAACCCATGAGTATAGTGTGCTAACAACCTCAAGAAGCACTTTAACCGCTAAGAGATTCACACCTGAGTTATGCAGTACACTTTGTTTGCATACATTTACCCCCACCCCCCCCCACTTGATGAAATTGAATAAAGCAACAAAAACTGTGGTGGTTTGTGTAGAATACAAGATGGTACACTATTCTTTTATTTATTTCGTTGGCTTCTCATCATCTGCTTGTTTATAGCCTAAATAAATTATTATCAAGTTAATGTAGGGAAAAGTTTTAACATACTTGCAAATTTTACATGATGTCAGTTGGCAGCAGGATCTGGACATAGTGAACAGTTTTTGATGTGGTTGTGTTTTCTGAGTTAACTGGATGGTTAATTTGCGAAGCTTTCATCGCCCTACTAGGCGACATCTCCCATCATCGAGTACTTCAATTTGAACTGAGCTATTTAGACTTCTCCACGAGTTTATTAATCATCTCTCCTGGTCAGTGACCTTGGACTTTGGCCTAACCTTTGGCTTGAAAGTCAAAGAAACGATCAATTGCAATAAATTAACCTAGAAGGTGTGAAAACACACAAAAACAACCAGTCAAGTCCAAAGTCACTGACCAGGAGAGATGATTAATAAACTCGTGGAGAAATCTAAAAGCTCAATTCAAACTGAAGTATGCGATGAAGGGAGATATCGCCTAGTAGAGCGATGAAAGCTTCGCAAATTAACCATCCAGCTAACTCACAGAATACAACCACATCAAAATCATCCACCTGAGCTACAAATCTTCTCTATCATATCTATAGTGAATAGTACTCAGAAAATTACGCGTATATAGTTCTTACATAGGTAGTTAAAGTTTGAACAAAGTAAATGTATTCATGCATATACAATGGTAAGGGAGTTATGTAATAAAGATGAGAGATGCGTAAGATAATGATTCACTAGAGAGTTTGGTAACAATGAACTGAGTTCAACTAAAATAGGATTTCGGGAGTTTGACAGAGATTGCTTCGGCAGACTATAGGAGAATTGATCTTTTCTGTCAACTGATGATTTTCAAGGATTTTTTCGATTTTCACCTCATGACCCGTATCAAAGAGACGCTTGGTAATTAGCACTGTTATAAGTATTTGTTCCCTACTGGAGAAGACGTAGGCTTTCCGGTACATGTTTAGAAAATCGGAGGTACGCTATTTCTTTTTTCTGTTCTTTCCATTTGTAACTGCTCTCGCAGATATATATGTGAATTTGTGTACACAGGTAAAGTCAACTTTTGATTGCACCAAGGTGCATATTATCCGATAGACGGAAGCTAACTTAGCTATCTTCAGAAGGGACTCTGCCTGGTGACTTACTCAGTTTTCTATTGACTATTGTTGCAATATTTTCACACTTTAAAATCGAGTTGAATGAAGAGAGGAGGACGTTAACGTCTTGAATGTGGGAAAGAATATAGGAATGATCACAAAGCGCAGACTGATGGATCAAAATATTTACCCGAATAAATTTACCGTTCATTTCCTTCTCCCACTGTCCTTCCTCAAGAGCCTACTTTTCACTTCATTCAAAAGTTCCTAATTAAGCAAAACCTTCTGATATGATTGTTGGTGTTGAAATCTTTTGATGAATACTGTGACAGGCTTCTCAGTAGTACCGTGATATCAAAGATTTGAAATTTGAATTTTTCTAAAGTATGAAGTTAAAAATAGGTGCGGAACCTTTACTACTAGATCAATAAGATTGAAATAAAAGAAGACGGTGACAGCCCTCCAAGCAGATGCATAAAATTCAACAGTAGTGGGATCAGAATGTGCATTGTACACGTCTGCAAGCAGGCTGCCTACTGATTAGTGGATAAATACATATCTGCTTACTCTTTTGCAGATAAATGAATTTTTGACAGACGATCAGAGGTGATCATCAGGAAGCCGTAAACCTGTATCTCCTGCTTATTACCAAACACTAACAAGTCGTATCTGAAGATTTGGTTGATTAGCTTAACCATTATACTTAGAGTGGGCAAAGTTAAACTTCAAGCACCATCAGGCACCAACGGACAAATCACCTGGAACTCACCAACCACATCATAGAAGTGATTTTTGTGTATAAAATACATGTATTCATGAAATAATCAATTAAAAGGCATGAAACTGTTACACAGGATACCTTTCTCTGATGTGTGACAAAGATGTCTCTCAGTTTTGGATTGGAGTATCAATAAAGTAATCTTACCGCATTCTAAGTGCTTGTAGTTATCTGGTTCTTCTAGCCCTAGACTGATAATGTCCTTAAACTAACCCTAATCTAACTCTAACCAACCCTAATGTCACCCTCATTAGGTTAACTTAACCTTAACCTGTCCTTAGCCTAAAGCCTGACTTAATTTTTCCCAAAACTAAACCAATGTTTACCAGATATCCCATTGAATAACATAACGCTTTATTAAGTATAATTTATCCGTGATTAAAATACAATTTAACAGGTTTTACTAACTTGATGACTGAGGGTTTCGAGGTCATTGATGCAGTTGCGCTCCCCCGGTACTTAAAGTCTGACACAATCTTTTAACCGACAGGGCCTAGATTCTAATCACAATCCAACAACTTCAGTCTGAGCAAACAAGTAGTATCATGAGTCCTCCACATACAATATGTGTTTGCTACCTCTAAGAAACTTACTTACTTTCAAATACTTCAAGGATTTCCTAACCTCGATTTAAGGTGGAAAGAGATGTGAAGTCACATCGTTTAATGGACAGATTGAAAACATGACTGCTAGAATTTTTTTAGCGTCAACTCCAAGAGCTAAACACATGATGTGGAGAAGCGAATCTCAATTAAAGTTTGTTGGAAACTGTGAAATGAAACAAGCAACAATTTGAGCATCATTGTAGACAAAAAGAAAACACAATAAATATCTGTTATTTTGTCGTTACCAAGGATTGTTTAACATTGAAGAGCACTTTAATTTTGAAGCATCAGATTCATGAGTAGCTAAGCTGTCAGCTGAACATACAGGAAACAGAGGTGATAAAGATACCTGGCAAAGAAAAACAAATAACGACAAGCAAAAAACACCAATTGCCATCAACGACAGAAATCTAAAGTCAGTATCCTTTCAAATATAGATAGCAGCACACATGAGGGTGTCAGAATCAGTGGGGATTAGATCGACAAAGCATGTAAGGCAGCCATTCATTACTTCAAGATCAGAGTGGAGATCTACAACAACACTCAGTCATCCCTTAAGATCACCACTTCAATATTCAAGCCAATTCAGTGCTTCTATGTTGGACGGGAAATTGGCGTGCACATCACTAGAAAGAAACATTTCCAGGAGGTTGTTGAAAACCTTCATCAATCAATACCTACTTATCACCTTCGGTGGTTTTATACACATGGCTGATCAGAAGGGCAAAGTAACCGGCCACACTGACATGCAGCCAACAAGCTAACAACCTGGTATCCAACAAACATGCACAACCAAATCAGAGTGGATTGGATGTATATTGAGGCGACTGTTGGCTGACATCACTTGTTAGACAGACCATTGAGTAGAAGGTGGATGGGAAGTTTCCGGTTATATATGAAAGGATGACAATGTAAAAGATGATTTGGAGATGGAGTGAAAGTTTGTGAGCAGTAATGGGTCCACTTGAATTTGATAGAAGAGGAGCCGATGGAAGTGAGTTGTGAGGTTGAATCCTTGTAAAATCCACAAGTGAATAAACGAATAATAATTATAATAATTCTGATTTAAATCACTCCGGTGACCCTGAAATTAAGGTGATAATTTACCACATAAAGTTTCGAAATTACCATTTACACACTTAGAAATAACAATAAACTGAGTGAAGAAATATGCATGCCTTTTGAATTCAATGACTTCTTCATCATTGGCTGCTTGGCTGGCTGTCTCTACACTAATATACATAGTCGTTTTTTTTACATCAAAATCCCTTTACCAATCAAGTGGTTATTTTAGTTAATCACTTTTAGGTATAGACGGATAGGAGGGGTTGGGTAAAATTAAGAAGTTAAAGGTCAACAAAACAAATAACTAGTTGATGTTAGCAGCAATATATCTCAGTTTTGAAGAAGAGACGGATGAAAATTAATTATTTAATTATTATTATTAATAATTATTTCTACCTTGGTTTTAACCTCTTCACTAGTCGTTCCATGTAAAAAAAAGTTTCGAATTTTTCTTTTCTTTTTAATTTTAATTTCAGTTTGCTTTTGCTTTAATAATTAATTTACTATTATCACTCTCATATGTTCCTTTTGTACATTTTCGCATCCTCTTTGCACTTGTTAGATGGACACTGAAATACCTTTATTCTTACTCAATAGCAATTTGAATCTTATCAAATTTCTGTCTATGTGCCGTTGATTACCACGTAATTTACTTCTTTTAATTTTCACTTCTAAAGCTACTTCTGAGTGTGCGTCGGTGGCACAGCGGTTAGGACGCTCGCCGATCATTCACATGGTCTGAGGTTCGATCCCCGGCCACCGACGCACTCCTTTACCTCGCTAAGCCGGAAATCATGCTGGTAAAGAGGAAAGGTTGGGCATGACGCCGGCTAGCAACCCCATCCTGTGAAAAATAATCATCACTGTTACAGAAACTTCAAGCCACCAGTTTGAGGTGCTATGCTCCACTTGGAACGTGAAGGAAAAAAAGGCACTTCTGAGTAATTATATCACCCCTTATTACTCCATTATAGACCACTGGGTACCTTTTGTAAGTATAAATACGACCGTACAGCCTCTAAAGATGATTTCGTCGATAAAGGAAATTTCTTTCACTGAATTTGTCTTTGATTTTCTTCAATTCAAGATAAGTTAATTCTTAAGTGTCAGCAACAAGTTATTACATAATCAAGAAATTTATAAAATAGCAATAACGGCTAAGAAGAATGGGATGACCCAAAAGAATTCCGTCAAATACAAACAATAGAATTAACTAGAACCGTAAAAATTACCAGCTCATCTCCTCGAACAACTAGACATCAATTCGACTATAACAAAGCTCTTAAAGTCATTTATCGTATAACACCCAACCTCTAGCCGCATGTTCTATGAGTAAGACTTTTACATACATACGACAGAGGCAATCTCAATTCATCTGAACAAGCCAAATCCATGTGTGTGTGTGTGTGTTTAAAAAAAAACTTGTCCAGCCGCCTTCTCTTGCCCCGACCAACTAAATAATATGTTTGAATAAGGCATTAAGAAGATAAATTTCGTGAGATGATATCTTCACTTCGTGGTTTCTTTACAACCGCTTTACAACTAACATCGTTAACAATAATAATTAAATTAAATGTATGACAATTACTCACTTAAATAAAAAAACATAAGTACATACCAGTGACTAATCATATTTAGATAGGTCAAGTAGTCCATGGTAGGCGAAGATTGAAGTCTGTTGTTTTTTGTACACATAGTTTAGACTGTATGTGATTAATACCCCAAAGTGCTTCCTTCACCTTGAATAACCAACCTTGAATTAGAGTCAAGTGGTGAAATAATTGTGAAACAGTCATTAATTAATGTTGATTTTGTGACCTGACATTAATAAGTGTTTTGCAATGGATAATGATGCTGGATTTCTATTCAGATTAATCGCGTTGGGATTTTCTATATGGTTTAGTAGCCATTTTGGAATATGTTCTTTTCGACCACAATATTGTAACATTGTGTTGGTTCTACCTATATAGGTGTCACCGCAGCTGCAGGTGAACTTGTAGATACAGTTCGAGGAGAGTAGAGTCCACAGAATTTCGTCCTTTAATCGTAGGAACAGGGATGGAAAATATTTGGCACATGAGAAAAAGAGATGTGGCGGCGTAGAATATGTGTTTGATGGCTGGCTGACCGAAGTCTTTGAGTAATTGTCATGAACTTTATTTTATTATTGTTAACCATGTGCGTCGGTGGCACAGTGGTTAGGACTCTCGCCGACCATGCACATGGTCCAGGTTCGAGCCCACGCCGACGCACACTTGATATCTATGGTCGGCCTGCGAATTTTGGGCTACCGATGTCCACGCTGAAAATTCCACACTTGTACCAAAAATACAGTGTGGAATCAAGCTGTAATCCAAAAATAAAAAAAAAAAAAAAAAAAATAAAAAATGTAAAGACACTTTGAAATGAAGATATAATCTCACGAAATTTGTCTTTTAAATGCCTTATTGAAATTTATCAAAGAGAAAAATTGTTTTAAATAATATGTAATAAATTTTTAAAAACAATTTTCACCCTCCCCTTGTAACTATCTCATCTTTTGACTTTGTTAAATTTTACATTTCTACCTAATTCTATTAACCTGTTTATATTTTGCGTAATTCTTCTGAGTCATCATTGCTATTTTACAAACTCCTTGATTATGTAATAACTCCTTGTTGACAACAAACAATTCACTTCACGTGAAATCTGGAATTGATTGTCACTTTTCCCTCCTGTAAAACTTAGATATCTTGTTACTAACATCTTTTAGTTAACTGATACTTTGATGACCTATGACCCCTTAATTTCACCCACCCCAAAAACCGATTAGCTAAATTAACCACCTGATTGGTAAAAATTTTTTTAATTGTAAAAATGACTATTTATATTAGGGTATAACTAGCCAGTCAACCCATTAGGCTATGGTGAGTGAGTAAGTGAATTGAAAATGAATGGCATATCTCTTCACTCAATCTGCTGTTTTTCAAATAAAAATTAACAATGTGTTGAAGTTCAGTTTTGCAAGACTTAATCACAGGAATCGAAGAAGAATACTTGTATTACCTCCACATCAGTTGATAATACGCATTTTTTTTCAAACATTTTTAAACCAAGCGACGTATTTATTATTATTATTGTATCCTTTAGTTCCTAGAGGAACATAGGGCTTCAGCTGAGCACCTCCATTGCCTTCTGTTTTCTGACAACTTTTTTCACCCGCTCCAGGTCTGTCCACATGCTTACATCTCCTCCTCGCATGACCTCCTCCAAGTCACCCCCACATTGACGACCAACTCACCGCTTTCCTTTCGGGTTCCACTCGAGCAACAGCTTCTCTAGTGATGTCACTTGATGATTTTCTCAGAGTATGGCCAATCCATCTCAATTTCTTCCTGCCTATTTGTTGCACAATCGGTTCCTGGTTGGTTCGCTCATTTCCAGAGATCCCTGTTGCTGATCTTTTCTGGCCGGCCTCTGATCTTGAGTATGGAGCGAAGACAGCTGTTGATGAAGGTCTGAAGTTTGTTTGAGATGCTCTTTATGACGCGCAGTGCAAGTCTCTGATCCGTATAGTGAGTAGCACTGACTTCACATTGGAGGTGAAGATCCGGATCTTATTTTTGATGCTGAGTGCTGTTGACCTCCACACAGATTTGAGAGTAATGAAAGCTTGTCTTGCTTTTCCGATTCTAGCTTTGATATCCTCGTCAGTTCCACCTGTAGTTGAGACGATGCTTCCCAGGTAGGTGAAGGAGGTTGTTTCTTTCAGGTTTCACCCATTTTTGCTGGCTGATTGTTGTCTGTTGTTGTTGTTGCTGTTGGTGTTGGCCAGGAATCTTCATCACCTCTGTTTTATCTATCTTCACTTGAAGTCCTATCTTCTCTGGATGCTTCTTCTTCCAGCTTGTTGCTTTTCACTTGCATATCTTCCAGTTTATGGGAAATCAGACATATATCATCGGCGAAATCCAGATCCTCCAAGTCTTTTGTGTCAGTCCATTTTTATTGCCTGTTCCCTCGTTGGTTGCCGTTGTCTGTCGCATTATCTAATCGATTGCAATCAGGATGATTATTGGTGATAGTAGACAGCCTTATCGCACTCCCGTCCTCACTTCGAAGGCTTCCGTAAGATTCCCGTTGTGGATTACTTGGCATGCAGCATTGTCGTATAGCTGTTGGATGAGATGTATAATTGTCGATGGCAACCCACAGTAGTAGCGAAGTAGTTGCCAAATCACCTCTCGATCGACGCTGTTGAAGGCCTTTTCAAAGTCGATGAAGTTGAGTGAAGTGGAGAGGTGACTGCCATTCCAAACTTTGTTCAATGATGATCCGTAGAGTGGCGTGAGTAAATGAAGAAGGAAAGAAACTCTCAACAGACATCGTAATTAATTTTCCTGTTATTACGACTTTCTCTTTTCGCTTTTTCATTTCAGATCAAAATCAAAATGAAACTGTGAAATTTTGGTGAGCTATGACTGTGCCCGTTGCTGTGATCCACTTGAATCATCAATCATACAAAAAACAAACACACACACAGTTCTCTCTTTCTAAAATAAAAATTATCACTTTATTCCACTTCCACTTTGAACTTGAATTCAAGTCACTGTCTACCTCCGCCTCCTCCTTCACGACCACCACAACGACCACCGCCAGCAATCTTGAAGGTTGTTCAACACACACACATGTACATCCCTTCTCTATTTCTGATCGCAGACTTCAATGTTTCATCTTTTATTCTTTTGTGTGTGTGTGTATACCGATTTCTAAAAATACATATGGATGCTTCTCAGCTTTCTTCAGAAAGAATATTTTTCTCCCGCCTTCCCTTAAATGACACACGCCTACTTGATATGCCCACTTGATGTACAATGAAATACAGTTAAGAACCTGACTCTGGTGCTTAAAATGTGTCTATATAATTGTGCATGTGTTTGCTTCTGTTTGTTTTCTTTTGTGCTGTACTGTACTGTGCTATGCTGTGCTGTGCTGTCGCGTTTGTTTTCGCCTTCTACCTGATCTCCTGTAAAGCAAAGAAAACAGTTTTCAATTAATGGTGATGTATATTTTGCAGTGTGAATATCTATGTACTGCAAAGATGTTGCCCCATGAAAATGGCTAATATCCACACACACATACACACACACACAGAGGTGCAGATACACTGTGGTCTGGTATTCATGATTTTGATGTTTTGCATTTCCGAATGGTGTAATATAAAAAAATATTTTTAAATCAGGCGAGAGAGAGTGAGAGGAAGAGATTAGATCCAGGTGGTAACGACAAGGTTCTTTCATGGACAAGAATGAAGCCTCCAATGACACTGATTGATTTATCACAGGAATCATATACGACAAAATAGTATTGCCTGTAAGTAATTAACAACAGAAATAGGCCGTGGATAATTTAAGGACAACTGACAGCGGAAACAGCGACCAGCACCAATCACCATCAACGGGAGAGATTACATAGAGGTTATTTCCTGCCTTCACTTGTTTTTTAGAAGCCCGATTTCAACCATAGGTGAAACAGATGGAGATGTCAAAACCAACCGGTATTGGCAAAGCATGATACGGCTTCATCACTCTTAAATCAGTTTGCAAATCTTCTGGACTCAGCCAGTATATATAGAACAATATTTGTATTTTCAGCACAAACGTGTCTAGTCAGTCTCTTTTTTTTATACAGGTCAGAAACTTGGACTGCACGTCACGTAAAGCATATCTAACAGCCAGTTGCAGTTGCCTTCGCTGATTCTATACTGAAGATCAAATAACTAGCCGGTTAGCTGGTCAGAAAGAATTAGCAAGTAGAAACAATGGCTGGCAACAGACCAACACGTGAGAGCCAATCGCTCAACAAATATGTAGGAGAAAATGGATTGATTGGGCATCCATTGACGAGGCCGTCAAATGGCATCTCACGTAATACAGGCCATCACTCGAGTGAAATCCAGATGGAAAACGACGAGTAGGTCGTGAGTGCGGGAGTGACATGCGGGGAGATCCTGTGTTGGGGAGGATAAGGGGATGAGAGACTGCATACATTTGGTTCCCTTGATACATTTAGATAGAGGAAGAAGGACCACAGCAAAGTGGACATGTGTTTTCAAAGAACGCGGTTACACTTGGAACCCAATAATAATAATAATATTAACTTGCCGACAGAGTATTTAACCTTGTAATAACCAAAACTTCAGTATTTCTGTTTGAACGTAGAAATCACTGTATGTGTTCAATTGGTGGATGGTGGCTAGCAGTGGAATCCAGGATGCGCATTTCGTCCTATTTGGGACTCGAGCACTTCGGTCCAATCAATCGACGGGAAAATCAAAAATTCAATTCAATAATTAATATGACCCGTTGCACAAGAGGTGGCTCTCGTGGCCCAAGTGGTCTAGTGGATAACGCTTTGGCGTTTGAAACTATGGGTACTGGGTTCGAGCCTCATTGGTGGGAACATCATCACTCACTGAGAAATGCAGGTACATCCAGCTGACGAGTCCCGAATAGGACGAAATGCGCTTTATCCTGGATTCCACTGCTAGCCACCATCCACCAATTGTATACTAACTAAATGCCCGGACATCGTCGAAGCATCTGCGCAAGAAGCCGACATGTCAACCTGAGACCGAGCACTTCGGTCCAATCAATCGACGGGAAAATCAAAAATTCAATTCAACACTGTATGTGTTATTCGGCATAGCTTGCAAAATTTCTGCGAGTAACTTACTGTTCAAAATTAAATTTCAAAAGAATAAAAACACATTTTTTTGTTTGATAGAATTCGTGATATCAGTCAACAGTATCAGGAATACAAAGCTACCTCAACAAGGACACCCGACAGTTCAAAAGTATCTTTGGTACAAAATATGTACTGTACAACTAAATTAATGAAACAAAAATATCTACAAATTATCTGATAATCAATTAGAATATATTAACTAGTCAAAATATCACATCATTATTAATACTACCACATAAAAATAGGGACCAGCGAAAAATGAAGACAAATAATAAGGGTGAAGTTAAAAAGATATATGGTAAACAGCAATAGAAGAATGATATACAGGTTAGCGGAAAACGATGTTATTATATTTAGACCGTTGGGTTCCAAATGGAACATACGACTTCAGCAGCGCATCAACACTTCGTTCCATTTTCCATTGTCGTCATCACCTCCATGACCACGCGATTGTTCATATTCTCTCATCTCCTCCTCCACCCCCCCACCAAGTTAACACACGATCTTCTCCACGTCACCCTCGCACTGACGACCCACTTGTCATTTCCCATTTGGATTTCACTCAAGTGATGGTTTGCATTACGTGTGATGACATTTGACAGCCTCCTCAACGTGTGCTCAATCAATCCATCTACATTTTCACCTACATATTTGTTGAGCGATCGGCTGTTCGCCTGTTGGTTTGTTCCCATAGTTTCTAGTTACTTGTTCTTTCTGCCAGGCATTTGATCTTCAGTATGGAGCCAGAGTAGCGAACAGTTGTTGATTAAAGTTTATAGTGACCTACTGGCTGGAAACCATTTTCGTGATACCTAGCCTAGTTAACTAATGTGCTAGTTTTCTAGCCGGTCCCCATCCCGGGTGAAGAGGGTTGTGTTAGGCGTGGGGCTAGCAATCCTACACCACAAATGCTATCAAACTGCTAGAGAAAATTCAACGCGTGAAACAATAATCAATACAAAATTAGTTGAAATACTCAAGTAGGCATCAATTATGTGAATAGACTGTTGCCTGTAGAGTAATTTCCGGGTGAATTATTCTCCTGTAAACTGAAAGTAAATGTTCTCCAGATTTTCACTTGTGAGGATCTGTGTTATTTAAAAAGGTAGACGTATTTTTAAAGAATTTCATGAGTAGTTAAGTTTCTCACACATCACTTTGTGCATTTCTTTCGGGGCAACTATGTCACCCGTCATCATACGTGTTATTCATCATCATACGATCAGCAGTTATGAGAATTTTGACTGCATCACTCTGAAAAGTGTCAATTTTGAAAGAAAATCCAATGGAATATTCCAAACTGCTAGAAATATGAGTCATTTGGACGTTTCTAGACTAGGCATTCTCTACTGATGTGAGTATCGACAATCGCGAGCAAAGTAGGACACAACTTCAGTAAACCGTGAAGTCATATAAATGATATGATTATGCTTCAAGAGCAACTGATGCTCCCTAAAAGGTCAATTGCTTATTTTTCCAATAAAGTGACATCTTAGATGCCAAAAGTGTCAAGGCATATTTCGTACAATAATCTTTATGAAGTCATGTAAAATCCTACGGTAAATACACATTTGGCCTATCCTCAGTCAACAGTAGCTTTTCTAACACTAAACGTCAACTGAAGAGCAGAAAGATGAGGTTATTTAAGAGTTACGTATTTTATAACCGTCGGGTTCTAACCAGCGGGTTAAGGAAAGCGTCCGAACCAACTTGTTTTCGATACATAGATTTAGCTTCTTAATGTAGATTTCAGCATCTCTAACCATATATAACAGACGAACACCTGGGGTGAAATTAAGCTTACTTGGTATACGGTAGATGACTTTGAAAGTTGCCTCACTAACGTCAATCATGTGTTTTTTATCCATGAGTTGAGATAAATAGAACCATGAATGGATTTCGTTTGTCCTTTACTTCACCACCATGCAGGATGATGTTCGGAAATCCGATGAGAAACACGCCTAATTGTACGGCCTATGCAGCTAACTGGCTCACTCCACAGGAGCAGTCGAAGTGGTAGATACCCATGGAAGAGGCAAAATTAGGTATTTTATCTTTAACTCCCGAACGTGAAATACGGGTGGTTTTGAAAACACAAGGTAATTCAGTAGCACTGAATGCTCTTTTTACCACCACATTCCTCAGGCAATGTATTAATATCTCACTTATGTGATTATCGATGAACTGAAGCTGTGAGAATAAGACCTTTCTCGAGACAGTTAGCAGTTTGGTCTGCCTTGAATCTTGGTCCATATTCTTATCGATGATTTCTTCCAAGTAACCGTTCTCACTTAGCAACTGTTTAGTAATATCAAACTCTTCATTAGGACGCTCATCAGAACAGATTGCTCTTGCTCTGTAGTGGAGCAAGTACTTTATTAGATTGCCTTTGTATTTCAAAGGCACAGAGCTGAAGATATGAGTATGCTAGCCTCTTGATCCAGGCTTTCTATATACACTTCTTTTTATTGCACCTTCCGCTTTTCTATTCATAAGGACGTCTAGGAATGAAATACTCGAGTCTCTTTCTTTCTGAATGGTAAATCGTATTGCAGGATGCTATTCGTTAAATTTGTCAGCAAGAATGCTCTTTACTTCGCATCCTCATCTGTCATAATCAAAGGAAATTATCAAAGGGAATATTTTTCGCTCAAATTTTCTTTTGTCTTCTAAATATCTAACTGAATATATTTTCAGTATATTGTAATCACAAAGGGAAATATTCTAATCACAAATGAAACCAAAATACCTAATCGAAAGAGTTGTATTCAAAGACAAAAATTAGTCGTCCTATTCAGCTAAACAGGAAGGCAAAAGAATACAACTGGTGGATGATAACTACCAGTGGAATCCAGGATAAAGCGCATTTCGTCCTCTACTTGTGACTCGTCAGATAGTGGATGTACTTGCATGTCCCAGTGAGCCAGTGATTGATGATGTTCCAACCAACGCTCGAACCCAGTGCCCATAGTTTAAAACGCCAAAGGTCACGAGAGCCACTGCCTCTTGTACAACACGTGTCTTATTAATTATTGGACTCAATTTAGATATTCCCGGTAAATTGATTGGGGAGAGTGCTCGGTCTTAGGGTGACATATCGGCTCCTTGTGTAGATGCTTTGACGATGTCTGGTCATGTGACTCGAATGCAACTGGCTGATGGCGACTAGCAGTGGAGTCCAGGATGCTTTAGTCTATGATCCTCAGCGAAATCCAAACAATTACATTAGCTCAAAACAGACAAAATACAAGTGTTAAATAAATTCGCTTGATATTGGGAAACTGCTGCACAACTCCATGTGAAAGCGGAAAGCGATCAAGTTAAGTCAGCATGCCATCTGTATGAAAATCAGCGAAGTTTTCTGTCCAATGAAATTAAGCGAAGCGAATCTCAAAGTTTCAATCAGTGACACCTAACAACAATTCGATAAGGTGTGTCTCTCTCCGTTCAATTAACTCGTG